ATGTCATGTAGGCACGACCCAAACTTTTCACCAAAAATCCTTAGTGAAACTGCTGGTGAGTGTTTTTCTTGGCCAATGGATTGTGTCTTAACTTCTCCTGGTACTTTTCCCATTACTTTAGAAGGAATATTTCAAATCCAGTTTTTATTTGTTTATTTTTTGCCTGCCTAGGACACTTCCTAAAGAACTTGAAAAGTCAACTTCCTCAGACAAGAATACTTGCAATCTCGGCTCTAAATACGCTATTAAAAGATTCACCTTATAAGATGTCTGCTGATGATCGACCACTATTCTCTGGGAAATCACAAGAAAATGCCAAGTCATCCCTTGAAGGAGCATTAAGGGAGATATTTCAGGAAGAGGGATTTTTTAATGAGACCTTAAATAGTTTGTCCCATGTCCATATAATAACTGATACTGAGAGTGCATCTTCTAGAGGAAATCATGGAAATTCTTCCTTTCAGAGCTTGGCTGACAAATCGATCACCCGTTTTTATTTCGACTTTTCAGCTACATGGCCACGTACTCCTAGTTGGATCTCTTTATTAGGAAGCGATACTTTTTACTCAAACTTTGCCCGTATATTTAAGCGGTTAATACAAGAATGTGGAATGCCGGTTTTACTTGCACTGAAAAGTACTTTGGAGGAGTTTGTCAATGCCAAGGAGAGGTCTAAGCAGTGTGTTGCAGCTGAAGCGTTTGCTGGAGTGTTACATTCTGATGTCAATGGCCTTTTAGAGGAATGGGACAGCTGGATGATGGTCCAGTTGCAGAACATTATTCTTGCTCAATCCGTGGAATCCATTCCTGAGTGGGCAGCTTGTATACGTTATGCAGTTACAGGAAAAGGAAAGCATGGAACAAGAGTTCCCCTTCTGAGGCAACAGATTTTGAAGTGCTTGTTGACACCTTTACCTCCGGCTGTAACTACAACTGTAGTTGCGAAGCGGTATGCTTTTATTTCTGCTGCACTTATAGAGCTATCCCCGCAAAAAATGCCTGTGCCTGAGATACAGATGCACAATAAACTTCTGGATGAATTGCTGGGTAATATGTGCCATTCATCAGCCCAAGTAAGCTTGCCTCTTATCTATATATGTAAATTTCTATGCATTGGAATATCTAAATAGTCCTCACTTCTGTTTTCCATATATTGGATGGATAGCCTTACAAATTTTGATGTGAATATTGATATCATGATGTTTTTCTTATAATGAATCTCTCATATAATTCTGTATTGGACAGGTAAGGGAAGCTATTGGGGTTACCCTTTCTGTGTTGTGCTCTAACATTTGGCTCCGTGTGTCATCTTCGCAAGATCATTCGAATGAAAGGGGAAAGACTGATATCAATAACAAACTTAAGGAGGAAAATTGGGTTCAACTACTAACAGAAAGAGCATCCAAACTTGTTGTGAACATTCAGAATTCCAGCCTGTCTGATGTTTTAGATACCTCAACAGATATAAGTACCAAAAATGGTTATCAGAATGGTGATTCACAGGATGATGTCAAATGGATGGAAACTGTATTGAACTTTTAGTCTCTTTGTTATTCTTGATTACTCTGAATTTATTCTTCTTTAACTTTTTTTAATCTCCTTTGATGACTTATCACAATTTGTAACGTGCAGTTATTTCATTTTATCATATCAACTTTGAAGTCTGGAAGATCTTCATATTTGCTTGACGTGATTGTGGGGCTTCTATATCCTGTAATTTCCTTGCAGGTATGTGAAGCTAATATTTGGCTTCTATGTCTCTTAGATTCTACTTAGGTGCTATTATTTTTTATTGCCTTGTACTCACTCGAGCACTTTAGTCTCAGGTAGCTAATTGTGGTTTTGACTATTATGTTTGAGAAGAAGGAGAAAGGAAAAAAAATCATTACCAGATACTGAAAAAGTTATCATTATTTTAGAGATGGGAATATGGAAGTAATCACAGTTGACGAAACAGATTTTCGTAGCATTGACAATATGGTTTACTTTAGTTGCTCTTTTTCTGTTCTTGCTTCTTTTGAAATTGACATAGAGCTGTCTTATTGGAACTCTCTTTATCTCTCTATCTTTAAATTTTGGCTTTCTGGTCACTGATTTCCTTAAGATTTAATCATGTTTGGCCATCCTGACTTTTATAACTGAGATATTTTGGCCTTTGGAAGGAAACGTCGAACAAAGATTTGTCAACGCTAGCGAAGGCAGCATTTGAATTACTAAAATGGAGAATCATTTTGGAACCCCATCTCCAGAAGGCTGTTTCTGTTATTCTTTCTTCTGCAAAGGATCCTAACTGGCGAACTAGATCAGCAACTCTAACATATCTACGAACTTTTATGTTCAGGTGTGTTACTTTAAGGATTTATCTATTGGTAATTTCCTATTTTGGCAAGCTAGTTGGAGGAGTCACCTCCAGCATATAGCTTTGGAAAATTTTGGTATGGATTCTAATACAGTTGTGTGCTTTATTACAGGCATACCTTCATTCTCTCGAAAGGGGACAAACAAAAGATCTGGAAAACAGTGGAGAAGCTACTTCAAGACAACCAAGTGGAGGTAGATTTTTGGCTAAATCTTCAATCAACTAGTGGCATGTGTGGTCTATATTAATAATAGACTTTATTAGGTGGGATTTTTATGATAAAAGAGTAGGAACTGACTGAAGTTATCAGTATTGTTCTGGACTCTGAGATGAAGTACAAAATGACAAAATTGAAGTCAATGTGCTTTTAAATAATTGTTTTATAAGTGATTTTTTTTTGCCCCTGTTTGAGGATCAAGGTCCTTGGGCAGGAAGTAGGATATTATTACTTTCAACTAAAATAGCTAAATTTGCTCAGGTAAGAGAGCATGCTGCGGGGGTGCTAGCTGGCCTACTGAAGGGTGGCGATGAAGATTTGGCTGGAGATTTCCGTGACAGAGCATACATAGAGGCAAATTCCATTCAAAGAAGGAGAAAGACAAGGTTTTTCTATGTTTTAGTTCCCGTTAAACGTTATGTACTTGATTTAATGAAAAGTAATATCCTTTAGATGCTAATAAGTTTCAGTTTGTTTAATGGAAATCAAAAGCTGAAAAAGCACTAAGAAAAGACCACATTTTTCTTTTTGGTGGGGTTAGAGATAATTGCTAAGTTATATCCTTATGCTGTTATGCATGAGATAATTAATGCTAGTCTTCCTAATGTCGTGACGATAAATTTAGTTTCTGTGATCAATCTCAATTGGACATCTCTATGAAGGAAAAACTATCACAATATAGATTATCAGATACTTTCTCTACGTGCTTCCATCTGCAACAGATTTCTAATGAATTTTTTAACCATTCTTCATAAATGATGAAGGCATACAAATAAGCATCTTAATCATAATTCATAAATAAATAGCTTATTTATGTCTAAAGTACATGGTGTTCACATTCACTTGTGTACTAGGTCCTGGTATTCAAAATTATTGCTGTTGTTAATATCTATGCTGGTCTAAAGATCATTTAACTTATGCATGCAGGAATACAAATTCTGGACACTCTGTGGCATCTGTACATGGTGCAGTACTTGCTCTGGCAGCTTCGGTGTTATCAGTCCCATATGATATGCCCAGGTTGGTCTATGTTAAATGTAATGAACAGTTAAAATGTTAGTAATAAGCTAGGTTATGCAAGATTCATAATATTTATGTGATTGAGAAGGAAGTAAGCAATATCTCAGAAACATCTATGTACCAACTCTACCTCCTAAAGTTTCTTTTTTTTTTGAAGCATGAGGTCAGTTGCCTAACTAATTGGAATTTCACAAATTGTATCGCCAATGGAGCATGAGTATGATGCACAAAAAATGCATACTTGCCATCCTTGTATTATAACCTGACAAACACATTGATGGAAAGTGGGCGAAAAGTGTGGTTACTTTAGAAGAAATGGAAAATATTTACAGAAGAAAATGGTGGAGAAACAAGGTCTCAGAATTCAAAAACTTTTTTATGGCTGATCCTTTCCTGGGTATTTAAAACACTGCATAAACCTCCTTAAGTTAAATTAGTATGAGGCTGAATGGGTTAATATATTGAGATAGGTAGGTAGACACCTTGACATGCATTTCACCTACATAGTTGAGTCTGTGAAATGGATCCAAAGGTGACCCTAGGAAGCTTGGTCATTCGAGGAAATTTAGATTGTTCAGGCGTGTTAGTTTGGAAAGATAATTTTTGTTTAGGCTGGGCTAAAGTCCTCTCATTTATAATCTTATCTGCTTTAGTAGCCAAGCCCAAGATCATACTTCTATCTTCAAAGTTTTCCTACACATTTGAATTCTTTTACTTCTAGCCATCAAATTTTCAGGATTAAATGAGATGCTAAAAGCCATTGGAACTCCTTTTTCTTCTCCTTTTGAAAGGCGCTCTTTATTCTGCTTTGTCACCTCTTCAGTCAGTTTCTTTTTGCTATGTTATTTATGTACATTGTTATTTTTGCAGATGGTTACCTGATCACGTTACATTACTGGCTCGCTTCAGTGGGGAGCCATCACCTGTAAAATTGACTGTGACAAAAGCAGTTGCTGAGTTCCGGCGTACTCATGCAGATACATGGAACGTTCAGAAGGATTCGTTTAATGAAGAGCAACTTGAGGTCTCTGCAAAGAACTATGAATTATCATGGGCTGAATATTATGATGCTTAGTTTTTGTTTTACATTTTCTTGTTTGATGCTGGCAGGTCCTGGCAGATACATCTTCCTCATCATCATATTTTGCTTGATCTACATTGCGTTCCTTGAGAGAGAGAAGATTTGGCGGAAACACAATGATTGAGAATAACAGTTACAAATTTTATGATTTACTTATAAGTTTCATTGAAATTTATAAAATGAGTTTTATTTACATTGCCTCATATAACCTTTTCCCTAAGAAGTTCATTCTTCCCTAAGAAGTTCTTGCCTATACTATTCTTTGTTGTTAAAAGCTTCTCTATATATAGGATTGATAAGATCATCAGATGGTATATCCCATAAAACACAATCTGTATTGAATATGCTTGATGCATTCTTAATTTCTTTTCCACCTTCGGATTCATCTCCGTTTTCATCCTTTAATTTCTCATGTGACCTGCCTTGCTCCCCTGCTGTGCATGTGCTTCCAGTACACATACTCTGGCTCCATGGTGAGCCACCCCCTTCATTACCAAAAGATGGTGGACCATACTGAAATCCAGTAACAGACACAGGGAAAACGCTACAGGCCCCTGCAAAATTAGCCGATGTTGCCCCAGAAGACTCCCATGGCTTATTCAGGGGTAGCATGTCAGGTTCTTGCATAGCTCTCGATAAATTCAGTTTGATCGTCTCAACTGCATCATCTTTCTCCTCTTGTTTGCTGGTAACATAAGGAACTGTGTTGTTTCCTGGTGCGGCATTTGATTGTTGAAGCTGGAAATCAATGCGTTTCTTAGTGAGGAGGTGGAGCATTTCGTCTTTGAAACAGCCAAGCGCTGCTTCTGCTAGGTGAGCTACCTGTGGCGGAGCCAGTGTGGTGGCAATCTCAGCCATGAGGTGAGAGAAAGGCTTGTGGGTGACGGGATCAATTCCCATGCCTGAAAGCCTCTTCTTCAGCTTGGTGTTCCAATGATTTTTGACATCATTGTCAGTGCGGCCAGGTAACTGGGCTGCAATCAATGACCATCTGCAATGTGATGCCATTTACAGAGAGTTAATGGCTACACCCGAACGTATAATTATATAGATTAAAACAGATAGTGAACAAGCTTTATATCTGGTATGACCATTCTAGTTTACCGATTGCCAACAACAGAATGAAGTTTGACAATAGTTTGCTCCTCCGCCTCTGAGAATTGGCCATGCTTAAGGTCCGGCCGGAGGTAATTAGTCCATCGCAACCTACAGCTTTTCCCACATCTTTGAAGACCTGGCATTGCCGAAATGTAAAAGATTTTCTTAACAAAACAATGGATTTCACAATTGCCTCTTAAGAATTACGATCATCGGAACAAAGCAACAGACCAGCATTCTTGGGGATGAGTCGCCAATTGCGGGTGCCATGTTGGGCGATGTAAGAGGATAGCTTGTTGTCTTCCTCAGGTGTCCATTGTCCTCTTTTCACATTGTCCTTCTCACAGCATGGAATCCGACCCATCTTTTTTCTTCTTTCTTTATTCGTTTTCTTCACTCATACTCCATAAGAAAATGCTAAGAACAAAGCTAAAGACCTGGCAACAGGAGGGGAAAAACAAAGAAGAAAAGAGTAGAATAAGCAATGGAAGTGAAAAGGCTTGGGCTATCTAATCTTTGATTAACTCGAAATTAAGGAAAAAAAGGGGAGGTGAGATTAGTTTTGGGGTACTTTTCTAATTTGATGGTTTTAATGAGAAAAGAAATGGTGTGTGGTTTATTGTTTATATATACAAGCAAACGTTGTTGCATATTGCATGGCAAATTCTCTACTTAGGAAATAAAAGAGGAAAACGCCATCAAAGCTGCATGACTTCATTAAAGAATTCAACGCTATTGGGCGTGTGAGGGATTGGCCGGTAGCTCACCCACAAGACACCCGGTCAACTCTCTCTCTCTCTCTCTCCCCCATATTGACTGCCTTTGGGGTTATGCATGTGTTCGTTGGCTTTCCGCTTTGCTCACACAAAACCACCTTAGAGTTGCAGATTAAGGTTGTTTTCTTGCACGTGTGACTCATCAGCACTTTTCTTGCACACAATCATCATCTTTATCTTAAATTACCCCCACGAGTTGGATGGTCATGAGTGAGTTTGTAAGGATCCATGTTCCTGTTGGGATTTTCTTGTTGCTGCTGCCTAACTACCGATACAACTGTCAGAACTTTTAAAGTACTTGGTATAGCTGTTAATTTACGTACAACACATGTCTTTGTATCCCCATCGAAACATAGGATGAACTTTGAAACTATATGTCCTATACTCGTGCTGTTTTCAAAGTTGAAACACAAGGAACTAACCCTTTCGGAGTTGCTAAGATCCAAAGGAGAGATTGATGAAGAGAGAACCAGCGGATCCACACAGTCTCCGTCATGTTGACAAGGAAATTTCATCATTTCCAGAGACTACGGGTTCACATAGCAAATGCCTGTCGTCTTACAGTGGTGGCATGCACTATTGAATTCTGAAAGATGACAATATCAGAAGTTTATTTCACTCCAACACTATAACTCCAATACCAGGTTTTCCAAGCTCCTGAAAAGTACAAGGCCTGTCGCATAAATTTCGGATACAAGTAAAATCAACAGCATTTCCATGCATATGTGTCTTGTCTTTCTCATGACCGGAGACGATCAAGTTCCTTAACTTATTTTGGCATTGGCACTTATAAGCCCTTCAATCGACCCGACCATGGCAAACAATGTGAGGGGCAAGCAAAAAATGCTAAAACTTTGAAGCACCACCCACTTTCTTGACCAGGCTTCGATATTTCTCTGCTTAACGTACATCTGCACTGGAAAATATATTGATAGAGGCCAAAAATAGAAGCCTCCTATCACTCCCAAAACTTGGTTGAAATATGGAAATAACATGCCAATTGTTGTTGTAGAAGCAACAAAAACAGTCCGGAAACATAGTCTGAGAAAATTTAACCGAAAAGCCGGTAAAAGTGGGAGTTTCAAGTTGAAATCCTTGTGTATGAATCCACTGTCAGGAAATTTCCCAGAGATCCATTTTTCAACATTTGCAAATAGTGGCTGACTGTAAAGCTGTCAACAGAAAGCATAGAGACAAAAGTTAACTCTCTTTCTGCTCAAAGAAGCATTTTCCTGACAAATAAGGCTGAAATCATATGGTAACACTTCCTGGTACAGATATCGTTTTTGTACCTGATATCCTCCAATTAGATGAAGCACAATGCATGCATTAGCAAAGTCGATGAGCCAATATGGCTCGTAGAATCCGAAACCTGTCAAGATGTTCCCTGGTGTATCATCTCCGAAGGCTGCATATCCAAGTCCTCCACAGCAGAGGTAGAAAAAAGTCGTAGCAGATATTGCTATTATTGAGGCTTTCTCCATGGTCTGACTTTCATGAGGAGGTGACTTTAAAGTGTCCTTCAAGTTTTGAAATTGTAATCATCGTTTAGTTCAGCAATCATAAAGTCTTAAACTATCATCAAACGCCAGACAACAATATGAACTCATTTTCTTATCAAACAGTGTCACACCTGAATCTCAATAAGAATTAGGGAGTATGGATAGGAAAATGCTATGTCTCCAAGTGCTTGAGATACCAGCCAGATTTTCTCAGCAGTAGTCGATGTTGAGATTCCTCGAATGGTACCCTTAACATAACCATTTCCTGCAATTTTATCAACATCAATAAAATCTTTGTCAAGTTACTTCCAATATATTCTGCAATGAGCAATTTAAATATCCAACAATACTGGTTCACTGTTATACCAATAACTTTAGCAATGCCAAGTCCAAGTCCAATGAAAGCATAAGCGAAGGACATGATTGCAGCAACTACCGACAGCCAGTGAATGTTGTGAAAATTAGGTATCTGAGACAGTATTAATTGAACAACTCCGAAAGCTAGCATATAGTAAGTATCTTCATAATAACATGCAGCCTTATGCCCTTGTGTGTGGTAACAGTTTGATTTTTGAATTGCTCTGCATTCACAGGTAGAACGTTAGGGTCTTATAAAGTGGCAATGACAACCCAAGCCATACCTCTTAAAGAGGAAAACTAGTAGTAGCAGCAGCAGCAGCAGCACCTTTTGGCTGAACTACCCCTAGTAAACTATGATGCAGTGGGAGTAAGAGGCACTTAACAACACACCTCATGCTAATAGCAGATGTAATTGTATATGCTATTCCCATACCATACAAGCCTACTTGCACGAAAATGCTGCACACCCTTGCATTCTTTTTCCCTGAAAATCCATATTAAGCAAGCAAATATCTATTACTAGATGTTAAGGGAAAAGCAGAAAGGGGTGACAAGAGATCAATATAGGTGAAGATATGATTTCGATAGTTTGATAAGACTGGCCCTCTGGTGCATGATTTATCTGAAAATTACTTTATACTGGCTCGTGAAGATGAAACTGCTTTATCAAATCCAGAATTTTGTTAAACTGTAAGTTTTCATATCTATGCTAATGTTGGCTTTTATAGCCTGATCAATTTTCAAGTTCAAACTGTTATGACTTTCATGGAGATTACTTATCCATACATAGAGCTAGGCAATCAGAAATAGGAAAACGTAGAAATTGGCAAACACCAGAAGGTGACAAGTGGAAACTCAGGTCAAGGCTTGCGTGAGATAATGAAATTCCGTGATCTAGTTGTGGACACCTACGCAGTATGATTACACAGGGTCAATAAATTATACTGACCAAATGGCCCACGCATCATCATCAGGATCAAGTTTTCATGACCATCCATGATTTTATCTCTTTAAGCAATGTGTAGTCGCTTTATGCAGGTTTATGGCTGCACTTCTTTGAAACTCTTCTATCTAAATTTCCTTCTGATATAAGACATTGTCTAGTTTCATAGATTGAATAGAAATTCTTGCAGAAACCACGGTGGAGCAGCATTACAAATGCAACCAATTGTTTTTCACTGTTAGAGATGAGCAATTCAATCTACCTTTTTGCAGAAACCATGGGAGTGGAGAAAGTACTGTTTTTCTCACCTAAATTCATGTCCACAGCCTCTATGTAGGAGCGATTTCGGACGGGTCCAAGCTCAGGATCAGGAGTTCTGTAGCAGTTCCAGAGAAGAAAAGAGGAAATGAAAACGATAGATGCAAAGAGCAGCGTAGCCAAGGGTCCTGCAATCCACCCCAGTTGAGCCATGCTCCATGCCAGAGACAGCACCCCTGCCCCTATGACCCCAGTTATTATATGTGCCACCGCGGTCCATACAGTCCCTTCACCATCAAACCATATGGTTTCCATGTCAAGAATATAGTCATAGACGAATCATGGCATGGCACGACAGATAAATAACTCGGAAATGCTACATGGCTAAAAGAGTTGACGATAGACATACCAGTTCTGTTAATGACAGCATCCTGTGGCTGTTGCTTATGCAACAATGGTGTCTGATGATCAACATGTTCTTCTCCCATGGCGTCTAATAAGGCAAGTCTCTCCGAGTCCGGTGTCGTGTGTGACAGAATTTATAGGTGCTAGAAGCAAGTTCGAATTGAATGTAAACCTCGCTTACGTGTTGCTTCCAACCTGTGTCACAGAATTTTTAAAATTTTTTATTTACTATATATATTTTTAATGATCTCTTTAAAATAATTTTTTATGTAATAATTAATATAAATAAAAATAATAAAATGATCCCTAAACCCTACTCAATATGATCTTAATTCTTAAATTTCTCCTTATCTTGTTTTTTTATTTTTTTTTATTTTTACTTTACACTTTCTCCTCAACTCACTACTAAAACATGATTCATTTCTTGAAAACATTTACGAACATGAGTTTGTGAGCTTCGATAAATAAAATCGGAACCACTCATTGTGAAATTAAGGAGGATAAAGCTTTTTTATTTATATTATTTAATTATTTATATATTTAATCATTATGTTAAATCTTATATATGATATTTAATTATATTTTTATATTTAATATTTTAAATTTAAATAAAAATATAATAAAAATTTTAAATATTTAACTGTATTTTTTTTTTTCAAATTTGATTAAAATATGAATTCAATAATTAACAAATTCTTTAAAACTGTAAATCTTTTAGATATTCTTCTACATTCCAACTCAATGCTTTAACCTATTAAAGTAATATGAATTAAAATATTTAAACTCAATTTTAGATAATAGTCGATTAATTATATAAAATTTTTTTATCAACACGTTTATCTCGAGATAATCATCTTTGTCAAACTTTTGTAAATATATTTTTAATATTTATTTTTTTTTATTTTTGTACCTGATATTTGTAAAAATTATTAAAGCGAACAGGTGTACATCAATCATTACTGATTAGTTTGGCTTGGATCATCCCAAATGTTTCTTTGTCATTTGCCAAAATTATTAAAATGAACACGTAAATTGACTTGGAGCATTCCAAACATTTCTTTTGGTTTCTTACCTAAACATAATTAATTATTTTTTTATTTCTCAGCAGGATCATGAAACTTTGGTTTCTTATTTAAATATAATTAATTAGTTTTTTCTCCAAAAATTATGTATGAAAGCTCTAGAAAAATCCAGCCATGGAAAAGGTGACAAGTGTCCTGCTAGATGGGAGATTTTAAGGCTGCTTTGGGCTCTATTGCCCTAACCTCTTTTCCGTTGGGCCTTGAATCTCAACTTGTTTTTTGGGCAGAGTTGGGCTTGGGCTTGTATACATGTCACTGGGCTATTACCGCTAATTGTTCTGTTTTTTTTTTTCCCGGGAAACCCTTGCCCGCCGCCAAACGCTGGGCTCTATTGCATTTCTAACTCCCTCATTGCCTCCTCTCCTACCGCCTTCTTCTTCGAGGAGGAATTATCGGCGGCGCTTTTCGTTCTTTTTTTTGAAGAGAAAGATAAAGGATGGGAAGAAGATTAGGAGGCGGAAGGTGCCCCTCCTCTCTTGTGCTTAACCAAAAGATTCTCCTCCGTCGAATCCAGTCGTGCCAGCAGAACGCTCGCTCCACCGTCGATGAAATTGTGGAGCACCTTCAAACTAACTACCCTGATTACAGACGCATCAAGCGACAGCCTTTAACCAGGAATGTCCGACAGGCCTTGCAAGCTCTTCACCCTTGTTCCAAAAACACCCAAAAGCCCTCTCTTTCCGTTTCTGATTTCAAGTTTGATGATGATGGACGTGATGAACATGCCGTTGCACCTTCTTCTTCTTCTTCTTCTCCTCCTCCTTCACGTTCTCGGAAGAAACCCAGGAGAACCGATGAGACTGAAGAAAGGTTACAGCGTTTGGAGGATTTGCATCTTCAAAGGAGACAGAGTCAGCACCAGTGCAACTCCGAGTCAGACTTGGAGTCATCCTCTTCTTCTTCATCATCATCTTCATCCGAAGAAGAAGAAGATGGGGCAGTTTCAACTTCGGAAGATGCCATTTATGGCCAAAAAGAGGAGCCCAAGTTTGATTTAATGAAATCAATGCTACGACAAGGTTACACTCAATCCAACGGCTCAAAATGGAAGCTTGAAGAAAAGAATATCGAAATGGAGGTTGCAACTAATAAGCTTAAGAATAAGATTGATATGACCAATGCGAACAAAGTGAGTGCTGAATTGAAAGAGGAAACAAAGGTTTCAGCTTCTGTAGGCGCTGCTGATGGTGTGGAGGTGAAAGGGAAAGAGGGGCCAAGGTTCAGGGATTTGGGGGGATGGGAGGAGTGTTGAGGAGTTGAACATGGAAGTCATTGTGCCTCTTTACCATCCACATTTGCCACGGTGGTTGGGAGTCAGGCCAATGGCTGGCATTTTGCTTCATGGGCCGCCTGGCTGCGGCAAGACCAAATTGGCCCATGCCATTGCCAATGAGACTGGTGTTCCTTTCTATAAAATTTCAGCTACCGAGGTGGTTTCTGGTGTCTCAGGTATTCATCTTCTGTTTTCTTTCTATACCTTTCCTTGTTGAATATGATAATTACGCTGAGCACGATTCCTGGAGTTGTTGCATAGAGTTTGAATAAATGATATTACTTCGTTAGTTATTACGGGAAGCTTTTGCCCAGGCAATGTTTTTGTTAATAGTATATAGCTTCATTTTTAATTTCTCAGGTGCATCAGAAGAAAATATCAGGGAACTCTTCTCAAAAGCTTACAGACTGCCCCATCAATTGTATTTATTGAGAGATTGATGCTATTGCATCTAAAAGAGAAATCTGCAGAGGGAGATGGAGCGCCGAATTGTCACTCAGTTACTGACTTGTATGGATGAGTCTTATCGACTTGTGCAACCAAGTGATAAAGAGTCAAGTTTGGAGAGCTCTGATTCCAAACCTGGTTATGTCCTTGTAATTGGAGCTACCAATAGACCTGATGCTGTTGACCCTGCACTACGGCGGCCTGGACGATTTGATCGTGAGATTGTTCTTGGTGTTCCGGATGAAAATGCTAGGCGCGAGATCCTTTCTGTGCTTACACGCGGTCTTAGACTTGAAGGCTCTTTTGATCTTTTGAAAATAGCTAGGGCTACACCAGGGTTTGTTGGCCGCGGCCGGGGAGCGGTGGGGCGCCGGCCGGCCGGGGGTGGCCCGCGGCGGCGCCCCGGGGGGGTGCGCGAGGCGGCCGCCGCGCCGCCGCGCGGGGCGGGCGCCGCGGCGGGCGCCGGCGCCGCGCGGCCGGCACGGCCGTCCGGCCGTTGCCGCCTTACGGCGGGATCCGGCGGGCGTCGGCGCCCGGGGCCCGTCCGCGCGCCGGGGCCCCCTCGCCGCGCGCGCCGGCGCGGCGGGGTCCAGCCAGATTTGGTGCCTTGGGCAACAAGGCTGTCATCTTGCCCATTGAAGAGGATCAAGACCAAAAGAAAGCATGAGTTTTCTAAGAATCTATAGACGAGGACAGCTGATGAAGTGGTGGAAGACAGCCTGGTTCCTGAGGAGATGAGAAAAGCTTCACATTCACTATGCTGATTTGAGGTGAAGAAAGCTAAACCTCATTATAGAAGTTCTAGCATGAACTATAGAGTTACACTTGATGTTTTTATAATAGTTTGAAACTAAGGTGGTGTATTTCTGTGTCTGTTATGCAGAAGTAATTCTTTTACTTTGGAAGGTTTTATATGAAACTTACGCCCCTTGTTAATGAATTTGCTTAATTAGATCATGCCTTTATTTTTTTTTCTCTTTTTTATAAAGAAATGTAAAAATGTTTTATCTGCAGGAAGCAGCTAAAATGATTCAACCCTCATCAAGAAGAGAGGGATTCTCTACAATTCCTAATGTTAAGTGGGAGGATGTTGGTGGTCTTGATTTCCTAAGGCAGGAATTCGACCGTTACATAGTTAGGCGCATAAAATTTCCAGAGGATTATGCGGTAATTATAGATAGTTACTACCTCTTTATTCTCTCTCTCTCTCTCTCGTATATACATATCCTGTTCAAAAAAGAGGTAATAATAGACATTGAATGTAGAAATGATTTGAAAGGAGTAGGATTAGCCTTCTTAACATGGTAAATGAAAGGAAGCCAACCATGGAAAAATTGGATAGAATGTCTGTAACATGTCTTACATGGTCTCCATTTTGGTTGACTTGCAATCTCAGCGCAACTATAATCTAGGCCCATATCTGCTTTGCAGTCAGATTGCTATAGTAAAATTTGCTTTTCAAATCATTGAATTATTCGCAATGTCAGGAATTTGGAGTGGACTTGGAGACAGGATT